TGAGACAGCAGCCAGCAGTGGCAGGCACCAACCAAACCCTAAACCCTAAACCCTAAACCCTAGACGAGCACGCCATAGACCCTAAAAAAGCAAGATATATATACACCTAGTATTGTTATGCATTAATTTTCCTTTTGATGAATCCTTTCCTTTTGAATATTTTTTCTCTTTTTCGTATTTTTCGTTGTAATTCTTTCGCTTTATTTCTTCTTATCTTTCTTCGTGCATGAGCTCTGGGGTTTTCTAAGAAAGTTTTCTGCGCCTTCAGTCTCCTCATCACTCGCTTAGCTGATACATTTTGTCTTGTGGTTGTCAGCAGCACCCGATACACCTCTTCCTTTCCGCTGCTCCTAAGCAGCTGCTCTAAGCGCCGCAGCAGCAGAGCTCCCCCCGTTGCAACTTCCCCCAGCTGCTGAACAGGGGTCAAGCTAGCAAGAGAAGCCCACAAGCTCTGCTTGTTTTCTCCTACACGAGAGGTCCTGCTGCTGCTTTCTTCTTCTTTGTTTATTCCATCAGATTCAAGCAGCTGTGACAACACAGAGTCTGCTGCCAGCTCTGTGTGTAGTGTAGAGCACCGGTATGCCGCATCGGTGACGTGCTCTAACACCGCTTGTACCACGCCCCCTGCTGTTGCCGCTGCTGCTGTTCCTGCTGCTGTTCCTGCTGCTGTTCCTGCTGCTGTTTGTGTCTCATCGGATGGGCTTTGCTGCAGCGCTGCAAGCGGCAGCAGCTTCACCAGCGAGGCGAAGAAAGTCACTATACCTGAAACTCGCGCAACGGTGCCAGGGGGTCTGTCAGACTGGGGCAGGCCGTCACCGGTGAACCCCAGGCGCCCCAGGTGTACACGCAGCCAGCGGCTGAGTCCCGCAGCAAGAAACACCAGGGGATGCATCTGTACGGATTCATGAGATAGTTGGTTTCTGCTTATCCCTTCTTCATTCTCAGGAGATAAGATTTTCCAGTTGGCTTTCACAGTCAAAGGAAGTGCTGCTGCTGTAGGTTGCTGCTGCTGTGCTGCTGTTGCTGCTGCTGCTGCTAAGAAACTATCCGTGTCGTCCTTCGCTGCTTCTCGCTGCATTTCATTCAAAACAAATTCTTCTGCTTCCTCTCCATCTGTCTGATCTTCTTTTTCTTCTTCCTCTATATCTACCGATGCGCTCTCTTCGTCTGCCTCCTCTTCCACCGCGTTGTCATCGCCTGAGTGGTCTCCTGACGCGTCAGCTGGCTCTGCTTCTGCCTGTACTGCAGCAGCAGCAGGAGCAGCAGCATCAGCAGCAGCAGCTGCTGCTGCTGCTGTCGTCTCTTCAGCCCCTGTATCTGGTGCGGAACGGTCTTCTTCCGCCTGGCCCTGCTCCTGCTCCTGCTCAAATGCAGTTTCTTCTCCCTGTTGCTGTGGGGGTTGCTCCCCCATGCATGCGTTTGCTGCTGCTGCAGTGCTGCTCGCGTGCAGCTTTGCATGCGTCTTGCTGCGCTGCTTTCGGGTGAAGACAACAAGGTGAGGGAAGCTGTATGCGATCTGAGCCCAGTTAAGAAGAGCAGCAACAGCACAAGGTGCAGCAGAAGGATGCCGCTCCAGCATGCTGTCTCTGCCGAAGTGCTGCCCCAGCGCGAGGCCTAACGATGCCAGTGGTGGGGTCTCCTCTACAAATTGCTTTTCTTTAGGGGNTGCTGCCCCAGCGCGAGGCCTAACGATGCCAGTGGTGGGGTCTCCTCTACAAATTGCTTTTCTTTAGGGGGCCTTCCTCTTTTTCTTATAGCAAGGAATGCAAGAGGAGGAGCACCTGAACGCCGCCAGGCTGCTGCCGGCGTTCGCTGCAGGTATTGGGCTACGCAGCGCAGAGCCGCACAACGCACCCACGCATTTTCATGATGAAGGCCAGATTCAACTAAATCCTTCCACAGCTGAGCTGCATGCAACCCTGCAACAATTTGCTGCCGCTGTGATTGCTGCAGCAGTTGCTGCTGCTGCTGCTGTTTCTGATGGGGCTTTGCCGTTTTCTGCCACTTAGGTCGCTCCTGTGGCTGGGGCGACCATATATTCAAGGTGGTGATGAACGACCCCACCCCTTGCCTTTCCATCGCTGCGCTTTCTGTTTCCTCTGGTGCATCTGCTGCTGCTGCTGCTGCTGCTACTGTAAGGGTCTGCAGCGCCTGGGGGCCATCGTCACGCCACATCTGAGCAGCTTTGCCGAATGCTTCCTCTATCCAAGGAAGACCGCCCGCTGCTAGCACCTGTTCAACCACCAGGATGATCTTGTATTGTAGACGCCAGTCTATGGCTGTTTCAAGGGCCTCCTCACGAGGCAAAACTGTTGCTACGTACGAAACAGTACATAAGAGCTGCAGCACTTTGGGTAAGAAGGAGGCGAAGGGGGCCCCCTTTTGAAGCATCATCCCNCAGTACATAAGAGCTGCAGCACTTTGGGTAAGAAGGAGGCGAAGGGGGCCCCCTTTTGAAGCATCATCCCTCCCCCTACAACATGGGGGACGAAGACGCTCAAGAATTCAAGAAGTGCTGTTAAGTGCTGCAGACGGGGCACCAAGAAAACCCTGAATACAACGCGCATCACCGTCAGTAGAAAGAAAACGAAATGCAGCCAAATCAAAGAAAACATCGCTCTATATCAACACACAAATATTATGCGGGCCTTCAAACGAAATAAAAAGTTGATGATGAAAATGCAGTTAAACAAAAGAAAATGGTTTCTCGTTACATAGAGGTACTTCCTATTTCCGCGGCGAAAGTATGCAAGGAAATTCTGAGAAGTCCATTGAAATGTATTATTGCATTTACTTTTATACTATCTAATCTTAAAACAAACATTAAAGAAAACAAATTTTGTTTTCAGTAGAAGTAGTTCTGTGGCGAGAGTGCAGTGCGTAGGCAACAGGAAACCGCTGGAGTTTCCGAAGCGGCGTCTGAAATGTATTGCAATATTTTATATTTCTTTTCATGAATTGTTTTAAAACAGATATTTATACAGGCATACATAAAAGTATGTATTTATGAAACGTTTTTGACGTATTTCATGGAAATAAATAAATTTTATATTTTATTTATAAATAGAATATTAGAAGCGAAATATTTGATGGCTGTGCGTACTTGGCGACAGTCTTCAGCTGGTCTTGCAGACGTAAAACGGGATCATCTGCAACTTCAACGAGCTGCAGCACTTCTCGCACGACTTGCTGCAGCAGCGCATGCGCCGTTTGGTCTGTTTCTGTGGCTAGCGTTGAGCAGCACGTCAGCAGCGCCACCTTTCCGTAGCGCTCCATGAACAGCTCCGCTGGGAACCGCCTCTGAGAAAGCAACACACACACGCGGTGCATGCGCAGCAACATGAAACCCAGAACGTCAACTCGTTGCAGCAACATATAATATGTAGACAAGCAGTCAACCCTATCAGTGCGCAAGGCAGTAAGGTTTCCTGGGTAACAAACACAAGCTGCACGCAGACGGAGTTTAATTTTATATATTTTAAAGCTCAGATGAATCACTAGATGCTGAATCAGCGCGAAATACAACAACTGCATACAGCTTTCCAACCCACCACCACTTTGTGAAGCGCTGCAATGGCCGCCCGTCTTCCGTAGACATCAGAGAATTTTTGCTGCTGAAAAAGAAAGAAGACGCGTCTTTGTTGCAGTCGCTGTGTCATGGGAAAGTTGAGGAGAAAGGAGACGTAGACATCGGCGCAGATGGATGAAAGCTTCTGACTGACAGCTGAGAAGGTCGCGTGCTGCACCATCACCCGAGCCACACGATCAACACACTCGTATACGAGTGGCAGCAATTCTGCTGCTGCTGTGCCCTGCTTCTTCGTTGCTTTTCCCTCCCCTTCCTCTGCAGCTTTTGCATCTCTTTGGCGTTTCTTCTGTGCTCGCCGTTGTAGAGCCTGGGTGCTCATTTCCCCTGCTGCTGGCTGCGACTCCTCCACAGCCCGTTTGGCGGCCTCATTCACAAGGTCCTTGTAGTGCTGCAGCACTACGCGTTTAAAGAGAAACAGAGCACAGAGCTGCAGCTGGCTGTCTTCTAAAGAAGAAGAAATATGAGCAAGAAGAGCCTCCTTCAAGAAGAACTGCCCAGCAGCCTGTAGCTGCTCCTCCGTCACAGCAGCGCTTACGCTGAGGCTCACGTCGGGCTGAGGCAGCAGCGACCCAACGTNAGCTGCTCCTCCGTCACAGCAGCGCTTACGCTGAGGCTCACGTCGGGCTGAGGCAGCAGCGACCCAACGTCTGCATTCCCCTGCTGCTGCCGCTGTTGTTGTAGTTGCTGCAGGCGTTGTTGATACAGCTGGTCTTGGTATCTCCAAGGCAGCACACGGAGCTGCTCTCTCAAGAGAGACCTGAGGATGTCGCCGCCGATATGCTGCGAGGGGTTGAGGGCGCTGTCCATCCACCTGGCGGCCTGGGGCTGCAGCAGCAGAACGGCTAGGAGTTTGGTGCAGATAGGGAGGAGCTCGGAGCGAGCTGTATAGTGATCCGCTCCCTGTACACCGCTGCCACCTCCGCAGGAGTGAAATATCCTCATTGTTAGGTACGCCACGAGAGCGCCTCGATGCTCAAGCCGAGGCAAACGGAAGGAGAGGAGTTCCAGCAAACACCGGGCACCCCAGGAGACAAGTTTTGTAGATCTGCAGCTGAAGCAGCAGATGACCTCAAGTGCTAGCTCATCGAGCTGCTGCATACATTCCTGCAATGCCATCTCCTGCATCCCCTTGGCCCCCTTGACGGCTTGTCGCTGCGAGGAGATACCGAGTTGCTTCTCTCGGAAGTTTTTCAGAGGCGCCTTAGCTGCTTTCACTGATAGATGAAGCAGACGAAGAGCTGCAGTCCCCAACAAAGAAGATCGCGTAGACAGCTCGAGGCCAATCCCTACTTGGTCTGGCTTGTTGCGGGTTGCTTGTGCTAATGAACGGCCTGTGATCGCACCAGGTTGCAGGGTAAAGCGTCTCTCTTTGCTCGTCTTGAGCAGCGAAACCAGCAGCTTCCTAGTGCTGCTGCTAGCCCCGCTCCCCCGCTGATGCGAGACAGGCGCTTCTTCTGTCTGATGGTCATCGATGTGCTGTTCTTCGTCTCCAGCCCCCCGCAACAGCAGCAGCCGCAAGGCTTGCAAGTCCTCTTGGTGTGATGGAGACAGCGCAAGCGGAGCCTTTGAGCCCTTGTCTTCCTCCTCTACCCGCACTGTAGTATCAGCTGGTGCTGCTGCTTTTGCTGTTGCAGCAGCTGCTGCTGTTGTTGTTGCTGCGTCGCTGTTGTCAGGGACAGCNGTGCTGCTGCTTTTGCTGTTGCAGCAGCTGCTGCTGTTGTTGTTGCTGCGTCGCTGTTGTCAGGGACAGCCGGGGCTTCCTTGGTGGATTCAGCGTTAGTGTGGGGTTTCTTGTTGCGTTTCTTGCGACTCAGCAGGAGCAGCTGCTGCCTCGAGAGCAGCAACAAAGACTCCTTCAGGCCACGTTCAGCTTGCAGCACGGGGTGAAGTAGAGGGAACTGCAGGGTTGCAACAGTGAGGATGAGGAGTTGTTTTACTGTGCGTAGTTTCTTTTCCATTGATATCTTGTTATTGCGACTAACGCCAAAGACGAAATGCATCAACAGATCCTCAGCCCTATTGACGTATTTGCTAGAGAAAGCAGCAGCATTGCTCCACCCCTCACGTTTGCATGAGGCCCCCGTGAGGAGGCCCCACACAAATGGCAGCAGGTGATCCGCGAGGCACTCTATGCTGCTGTCTTTGGTTATGAGCAGCAGCAGAGAGGGCCCCTTCAGTGACTGGGCCTCCTCAACCTTCGAGTGCGTGCTAACATCCGCCAGCTTTGCTACAGAAGAACTTGAAAGACCCCCCCCCTCACTCCCGTCCAGCTGCCCAGCCAATCCTCGCCGGCTCTCCTCTTGATCTAGACGATCGGGATCAGCAACTCGGTTTATTTCCTAAACACCGAAACAACACATGCAAGCTCCCCATTGCTGCGATTAATAAACCGAGATACGAGATGTCTACTTCATGAGCTGGCGCTGCTGCTGCTGTGTTCCCCATGCTGCTGCTTGCGCTACGGTTATCCCTGCTACTGCTGTTGTTTCTGCTGCTGCAGTTGTCAGTGGCAGCTGTTCCGAATTTCACAGCGGCTAGGTGCATCTGCCGGCTGTTGCGTTTGAGTGTATCGACAGCAGCTCGGGACTGCCGCTCATGCTGTGTGAAATGAAGGCAAAACTTACCTCGGCGATTAGAGGAAGCATCAGCGGGACCGCTGCTTCAAAGCGCTGGACAAACTGGGTACCATCAATACAGGCTGCCTCCTGAGATGCGTATACGGGCTCCCCTGATGCATCTTGCTGCTGCTGTTGCTGCAAGGCATTCAGCATCGCATGCACCGTGAACAGCAGTACGGGNCTGATGCATCTTGCTGCTGCTGTTGCTGCAAGGCATTCAGCATCGCATGCACCGTGAACAGCAGTACGGGGCGAAGAAAGCTTTGCTGATCTGCCTCTGGGTTTTTCTCGCTCTTGGGGCCCAACATGTGCTGCACCTCCGACACCAAGTAGGTGAAATATGGAGCCCCCAGGCTGACTGTCAAGCGGGTCAGAGCCACGCGGGCTTCCCGGCGAGCAGTGCGCTCCCGCGACCTGCAACCAGCCAGCGCAGCAGCGAAACAGGAACAGATGAAGCCGCTGCTGCTGTTGCACTGCTGCTGCTGTGCCCCTCCTGTGCTGCGTTGCAGCGCGCAAAGGCTCAGCATCATGCCTTCTTCGATTTCTGCCCGAGTTCCTATCCATGATAAAAAACTAAAAACTAGAAGGTATGACCCCTCACCTTAGAGCGAAGGCAATTGAACGGACAAGACGTGGCAGCTGCAAATGGAATTCGTTAGGAGGCAGCATCCTGGCCAGCAGCGCCAGGACGGCTACGAGCTCTGTTCGTACAACTGGATTTTCATATACTTTTTTATTTTTTTGTTCAAGAATATTTTCAGATGCATCTGCGGCATCGCCTTTTGCCACCCGTCTGACTTTGCTGCCGAAAGCGAGGGGATACAACATAGGTATCAGCTCCTCACGAATGCAGCTTTCTACTTTTTCTTTCCTGATCAGAAAGCATACAACACCAGCAAAGAAACGCAACAACTATAAGACGAGAGAGAGTAGGAGATAATGTGTAAAAATGTAGATTAGTCCGCCTTTAGCTGAAAGGTCCCGGGTTCAATTCCCAGCAACCCACATTAATTTACAAACTAAAAGTACGCAA